CCTGGAGCCCTCTCCTAACCCCTGATGGCCTGGCATAAACAAGCTGGTGGTTGGATTAGGGGTGTGGGGGTGTCCGGGGGCAGAGGTCAGCAGTTGTTTACCAAGGAAGGGGAAGAAGTTTCCGTATGTTAACAAAGGGCAGGCTTGCTGGTGAGGACAGGCTGAATATCAGCCTCCCTTTCTCCACACTAAAATCACCTCCCCTCTCTCACATCCCTTCCCATCTTCATAGCACACTAATTTACTTCTTAAAGAAAAAAAAAAATGATAGCTTCATTCCCCTGATTTAAACCTCTCTGTGCACTGGGTCCTACTGCATTGGGATAAAGTCAAAGTCATTCAAGAATGGGTCTTGGCTTACCTTCCTCGCCACACTGTATTGCTCCCCACACCTTTCCTTACTCCATGTACCAGCCCAGAGAACCTGTCAGTCTCCATCCTAAAGGCACAAGGCTCCATCTTGCCTGCAGGTGTTTGTGTAGATTATTCCTTCTGCCTAACCCTGCCAACCCCCCATAAATTCTTACTTGAGCAATGCCTAGTCAACATTCAAGTTTCACCTTAAAATATCAAATGCTCCATGAGCCTCTGGATCCAGTGTTGAGTTAGGCACCAAAAAAAGCTCTACACATAAAATAGGATGCCTGGGTGCCTCAATTGGTTAAGCATCTGACTCTTGATTTTGGCTCAGGTCAAGATCTCACAGTTCCCTGGGTTCGAGCCCCACATCGGGCTCTTTGCTGACAGCGCAGAGCCTGCTTGGGGTTCTATCTCCCTGTCTTTCATCCCCTCCCCTGCTTGCTCACTCTCTCTCACGTGACTTAACCACAGAACACTGTAACTGCCCATCCCCTCGTCTATAACCCCTCTGGGAGACTGGAGACTGCAAGCTAGGGACTGTCCAACAGAAAATGGTAGCCCTATTGGCCCATACAGAGTGTGGCAAGAGTAAGAACTCAACAAAGACAGGATGATGAAAACATCAAAAGTTAAAATTATGTAACTAAATGTTGTAAGGGTGTGGTTGAGTGTTATACCATTACTCTTTAAGACAGAAATCACAGAAATACAGTAATTAAGCCACATTAAAAAACTTTCTTGGGGCGCCTCGGTGGATCGATCGGTTGAGCATCTGACTTGATTTCAGCTCAGGTCATGATGTCATGGTTGTGAGATAGAATCCCGTGTTAGACTCTGCACTGACAGTGTGGAGACTGATTAAAATTCTCTCTCCCTCTCTCCCTCTGCCCCCTCCCTTGCTCTCGCTGTCACTCAAAAAACAAAAACAAAAAACTTTCTTAAAAATAATCAACCTGTGTTTTGTTGAAACAATTTGGAATCCCAAAAAAAGCTGCTACCTTTTTTTCTCCTGCTCATACACGTATATGCAACTATTTAAAATGGTAACGAAAACATCCGCAACTATTTAACAAAAACTGTGATATTCTTTTCCTGGAAACCGAACACAATTGTGAAATACAAACAAAAATTTCTTGAGGAAACAGAAGTAACAACCTGGTTTAAAATAAACATTTAAGCAAGTCTTTATGCCGTATCTTGTTCTAAACTAAACTTAGGGAACCTTGGGTGGCTCAGTTGGTTGAGCACCGGACTCTGGATTTCAGCTCAGGTCATGAGCTCAGGGTTGTGGGATCGACCCCAGTGTTGGGCTCCAAGCTGAGTGTGGAGCCTGTTGGAGCGTCTGTCTCTCTTTCCCCTCTCCCCCTCCCCCTGCTTGTGCTGTCTTTCTAAAATAAAATAAATTTAAACCAGATTACAAAAACACATACATCACAAACAAGTAAAATAAAATGTAAAGAAATCTCAACAGAAAAAAACCACAGTGGTAGAAGATAAATTTAGAAATGAGATAGGGACACAAACTATATGCTGCACGGTTCTATTTGTACATGATGGGTCAAAAATGTGTCTCTCAGCGTGCAGGGGTGGCTCAGTCAGTTATGCGTCTGACTCTTGATTTCGGCTCGGGTCATGATCTCACGGTCGTGAGACTGAGCCCCACGCCGGACTCCGTGCTGATTGTAGAGCCTACTTGGGATTCTCTCGTACCCTCTGCCTCTCCTCGGCTCTCTCTCTCTCAAAACCGTGGCTCTCTGCTTACTGGTGGTCTACCACATTCACTATGTCATGTGAACACTGCTATCCTTGTCGTAGAGCCACGGCTTCTCTAGGATATTTCCCACATCTTCTATCAGGACCGCCTTTCTTCAGACACTTCTAAAACCTCATGCTCACAGTCCTGATTATCCACCGCCTCAATTTAGGAGTTTTTCTTTTAAAAAATAGCTGCGGCTAACACTCTCTAGGATCATAACACTTCCTTTCCGGTGACAAGCTCGTAACCACAGTATCCCTGCCAGAGCACCGCTCGTGACCCCAGCTAAGGTGGCATGCCATACCTGTCACAGGCTGTTAACGCCAAACTGCCTCTTCTTAAGCATATTTCACGTTAGACCAGAAAGCTACGCGTATTTAAAACCGTGCGATGTTATAACAACCATTTTTTTTTTTTTTTTTTTTTTTTTTTGTAAGCATAAAATAGGATGACCGCTATGAAAACTCTGTGCTGGAATAAAATCCAGTTTTGCCTGTACCTAGCTTTCAATCACATCCCGGCAGCTACAACTTCAGGCAAAAGAGCCTAACATCAAAGCACATTTTGATTCACTCTGAATCACATCTTGTCCGATTCCTTTTGCTCTACCAAGATTTATGGACAAAAGCTGGAGGCTTCTATCCTCCAATAGAGGCACTTGGAATACAGTTAAGCAGACTGTTCCAGTGTTTAAAGTGTGATCCCATGAGTCTGCCTCCTGGAGGCATTTTAGACTTTACATACTTGAAAATGAAGAGAATGGGTCAGTCAAAGGACACACTCGAGGTGTGCATGTGACAGAAGCTGGGAAGGGGGGTAACCAGTTAGAAACAGAGAATGGACTGGGGGGGGGGGGGACACTGTAAACCTCGCTTTAAAAATACATTTTATAGTAATTACTGAAAGACATTTGCAATAGTACACATGTTACTGTGCTATTTAAATACTGGCCACGTCAACCTAGAATTAAATTCCATTCGCTGTTTTTAATAAAATCAGACATCAATAACTGTATGCTCCCTAACCACTTGTTATTCGCATTTACTTTGAAAAACCATCTATGCCTGAAACTCAAAAGCTAGTGTAACTAAGACTTTTTTTAAGTTTATTTATTTATTTTGAGAGAGAGAGAGAAAGCAGGGGAGGGGCAAAGAAAGAGGGGGGGAGAGACCGAGAATCCCAAGCAGGCTCCACACTGTCAGCACAGAGTCTGATGTGGGGCTCAAACCCACAAACCATGAGATCATGACCTAAGCTGACATCAAGAGTTGGATGTTTAACCGACTGAGCCACCCAGGCGCCCCAATAACTAAGATTTTTTTTAAAAACATTAGTGTTCTTTTAATAGAAATCATACCCATCTCTGTCATTACTTTTTGGTCCTTTACATACTATGATATTAATTTTTTTAATACTAAATGCCTGCTTATACTTGCCAAACCGATGTAACTATTCAGAGAACTAAGCGCTTCACTCTTTTATCTGAAACTCGCAAACGGTCTTGTCAACAGATACCACAATTTCCATTTTAGATAGGTAAGGAAACTGAGATAGCAGCCACATCACAAATGCATGCATTGTTTTGGGCAGGTTTATTTAATGATTAAGGGGGTGATGAAGTCATTTGAAATCCGTCTTATTCCACGTAGATCAAATCAATTTGAACAAATCCATAGGTATCTAACTTCCAAACATTCCACACAGGAATATTTTCATGATTGCCTCTGGAAATTATAAACGTCATTCAATTATAATCTCAAGAGCACTTCTGACACACCCCAACAGAGCAACTGAACTCCCCCAAATTTTTCAGAACACAAAGATACCTTGGCGATTATATGAAAACTAAATGAACAAAGCACGCTAGTCTTCACATGTATTGCTAAGAAGATGCCACTTCTCAACATTTTCATTTCTTGAGAATTGCCACCTCTTGAGGCACGCGAATTTCAGCAGATTAGACAAAATGTATTAAGAATTATTCTATCCTGTGAAGCAACAGCACTTCAGAAGTGGTTCATTTTCAAACACTATGCATCAGTAAAAGCCTTCTATCACGACCAGCAACCATAACAAATTTAGCTGAATTCAGTGTCAGTCCAGCTGGAGCTAAGGCATCAGAGGGGTCCATCTCCTACAGACTCAAGCAGGACTCACAATTTTTTTTCAGCTTGAGTTAAATGAAAGAAAATGCAATTCATATTTCCAGAAGCAAAAGTGGCATATTTTCCAGTAAGCTTCTTGTTCTCATTTTACTATTTTAAGAGCTCTGATCACTCCCAGGGTTGCTGTGTGGCAAGATCTCATTTCTGGTGGCTGATCAATTTCCATGGCCTGATGCTTCACCAAAACCGTCTCCAGAAACTGTTTTTACTCGCATTTAGCATCAGGATATTTATACACAAAATACCATTTCAATGGCGTTGCACCAAAAAAGAAACAGCTTGCTCGAATTTCAGTTGACTTTGTTAAAGGAAATTATTTTAAATTAATGTGGCTACTGAACCACTGCCATCCTTAACCTCAGAAAATATATTCCTTCTAATTTTTGCTGTGAACACTTATTTATTCGAGTTAAACTCCAGCTCATGACTGTCGACCATAAAGAGTCTAAACCTTCCTGCTACTATTTCATATTCTTTTTCTAAACAGGGCAAGCACATGTTTGCTGCATTAGTATGCACAGCTAGATCACCACCATTAAGTGAAATCATCTATATATTTTTGGTGGGATCTTTAACAACTTCCACGCCCGTCAGGGAAATGGAACAAGGCTGTTTTGTTTTCAGACAGCAACAATTTGATCTCTGGTTTACTAGATGGCGCTCAACATATTTTTCCATATGTTTTTCCGCAAAGAGAATCTGACATCAGCATGGTTTACCTTTACCAGTGAATGCAGGCTTTTTTCACCAAACATGTCCCAGAGGAAGGTCAGGTCTTCCTGGCTATCCACATGTGGCTGCAGCTGGGCTGGCAAGGCAGCCAACAGCTCATACAGACCTATAAAACGAAAATAAAACACAAAGCGTAATCTTAGAGTGATCTCATTAATTTCGCTTTAAGGTGTGTGTAAATGACAGCTGGAACATGTCGTTTTTACTGGATCTGTATTCTGGGCCATCAAGCAAAACACTTCTCCAAAGAAGCCAACGAATCTTTTGGATTTTTAAATTCCACGCAAGTGTGTATCAACAGGCAAGTTTTTACCTTTGAATTGTCAACATTCTACAGCCATCCAAGTTTACATAACCCGGGACAGAAAATGTCTACAAACGTTCAAGAAAAAAAAAAAAAAGAAGAAGAAGAAGAAGAAAACGCATACATTCCTTTCCTTAATCGTTATTACATTTCCCTCAATGTTAGCCAAAGAGTGAAATGAGTCATGAATAGGAAAAACTTCCTTAGAAGAGCAGAAAATTGATAGAGTGGTCCACTAAAAAGGTTTTGTGGTTTCCAAATAGTTCCTAATAACATATAGCTTCAAAAACATTTGCATTATCTAACTTCCAAAATCAAGTTCTAAAAAGTGAGACGGATTAAACCACACTTGGTGTTGCTTTGATGTCGTTGCCCGTTTAAAACGACGACGACAAGCTACACAGAACTCAGTTGAAATCTGACTCTAATCTGAGCGTATGGGATACCCCCTGAAAGAGTTAAGGTCAAAGACGGAGGTCACTGGAGGCACTGCTCACTAGAGGCTTCCTTGGGGTAGACAGTAGCACAGTGTTCCACAGTAGCGTACTGCATAAACCATCCATCTCCTTCAGGGGCCGTCAGACGCCTGTCCAAGAAATGTTGCGACAGTGCCTGCCCAGGACTCTTCAGGGAGGTGACCTGGCAGAAGTCAGTATCAACTCATAGCACATGCTTCACTTTCCAGTGGGATTACATGAGGTAAAAAGGACAAACTTCCTTTTATTTCTGTCTGCTGTCTACAAAAACACCAAGACCTCCTGGGATCTACAACACACGGGACTGTTGTTATTCCTGCTCTGAATAAGTGCTGTTGTTCATCAGAGGGACAGCTTTACAAGATATTTAACTAGCAAAGAATCGTAAACTATGGACTGCTGATTAGTATACCTATTATCTTCCAAGAGCATTATAGTATTCTGATAATCAATGATAATTCACAACCAAATGTATGAGTTTTCACTTGGAATGTCAGATCTGTAACTTGAGAGATTAAACTCAAACATTCCTGGAGCTGTATGTGGCCAAAAAGATCTAGGATATCCCAGGAAAAAAAACAAAAACAAAAAACAAAAAAACAAACTTACCCCAAGTACATTCTTAAGTATTCTTGATGGTTTATGTTTATTCCCTTAAAAACCTGGCATCTTGCCTGAACTAGCTCCTATTCATAATTTAGGAGAAACATTTTTAAGGTGTCTCAACCTAATTCAGTATATAATATAGGTCTCACTTTACACAGATACATACATACCCACAAAATAATGACAACTGCCAAGATCAGTGGTTAAAGTCAGAGGTTCGAATTTAAAATTATGTAAAGAGAAGGTAGAATTTCACTATTTTATTATTGATTTCAGAGGCAGTAAAACTAGTTCCTCACTCCTTGGTAATACGGTTAGTTTAACTAATGGTACTAATTGAAATGGAATATAATTTATGAGGTACAGTTGTTGGGGGAGGTTAAATGAGGTAATATATTAGAACAGTCTCTGGCACATGGTAAATACTCAACCTGTTCCATATGTAACTCAGTGAGCTTCGGCCATTGTTGTTATTGATTATTACTATTACTTGTCATTACTATTATGGAAAAAGCAAAACTCTGGGTCAAACAGACCTAGATTCAAACCCCAGGTCTATACTTCATTATTTCACATAACTTACCTAAGCCTTGTTTCCCTCACATGTTGAAAAAGAGACAGTCATCTATCTGCACATGTAATAAACAAAAAAAACACACACACAAACATGCACACGTACACAAATAAGTGCACGTGATACAGGTGAAGTCTGAAGGTTAATGGATTCTATCAGTGACAACTTGCCCACTGTGATTACCATAGTTATTATGCAAGAGGTTACCACTGGAGGAAGCAAGGTCAAGGGTACGTAGGATCTGTATTATTTCTTACAACACGTGCATACACAATTACCTCAAAATGAAGTTGAAACAAAAGAAGATATTATCATAAATACAACTGTTATAAGAGTTGAAGGGAACCGTGCACATGGCAGCACTGAGCCCTGTGGCTGGCGCAGAATAGGCATTTGATTTAAATACACACACACGCACGCACCCTTGCAATGGTTCAAAGTCAAAATAACAGAAAATGTAGGTATACGTTTCCCTGGACACAATGCCAGACTCAGAAATAAAACCACCCCAGTCTTTTACATATGGAAAGTGTTAGCTTTACCCAGTACTGCTTACCTTTTTGTGGGAATAAACCATATTATGTTTAAATTAAAATAATCTCTCTGTTAGCAGTAGCTCATAAACCTGAGTTTTCTGGGCTTTCCTAGCTTCATGCAATCCTAATTTATACGCCACCTAGTTGGGTCTCTAGAGATGACAGCAGGTCACTACTCCTCAGCTCCCACAACTGGTAGCCATGGACCGAAGCCAAGAGAGACAAGACAGTGCCCGCCAGAAATGAAAGAGGCTGAGAAGAGCTAGGAAGGTGGGGCAAGTGGCCTCAACGCAGGTAACACGGACAATCATTTCCTCTCATATGCATCACAGGGGTCCCAGAAACCACTGCCGTCCATGGCGAAAACCAGGTCTGTGCTCTCACGCGTGCTTTTTTGTATTTTAGCTCCTCGAGTTCCAATAGTGAAGAACACTATGAAATCCAAATGTTTTTGGTCCTTGAGATTCAGAGAGCAAGTAATGAGAGTTCAAATAACAAGAGATACCTTGAACAACGTTACCTAAATGTACATGGTCCCTGGTCAAAGGCAGGGACTACCTCCCGTGTAGTCATTCCAGCCCACGAGGGCTTCATTCCAGGTACCACCTTTATGGTACCTATGAACCAAGCACTGTTCGTGGCTCTAAAGGTCTAAGATAAATCAGACACGATCCCCGTCCTCAGGACTGTACAGGGGAAAGGACAGGCACACACAGATCCGTTATGAAGTACAGAGAGGGGTTAGACTGCATGGTGAGGCAAGGAGCAAGGAGACATCAGGGAAGGCTTCAGCAAAGACCACCACCCGAGTTACATCTTTAAGGTCCATGTTCCTAAGAATCAGTATTTATGAATTCTCACATTCGGAGCACTAGATTGGTTCCTGAGGACAGGTAGGTCCAAGACTATGCCACCACCTCTACCCCAGAGATCTTACAGCTTCGATAACAAACAATACCTGTTATCTACTCCCCAACAAAAGGCAACCCTAAATATAATGATCTCCTCTATTTGTCCAAGATTCAAAACGTATTTTCTTCTAAGTAAAATAAACAGATGTTCAGGCTGCTGATACAATCTTCAAACACCGAATTACTTGTCAGGGATGTTGATAAGATGCCCATGCCCTGCTTAAAATATTTAAATTATAATTTGATTAGGAACACACATTTTGAATTACCTATTAAGTACAAATATGGTAATTTAGATATTTGGGTCTTGCCCCACTTGCAGATTTCATCCAACCATTTTGTTTAACTCCTTCACAAGGACTTCCTCATCATCAGTGCCACTTGTAGAGTTGAAGAAGATCATTTTCGCTTCCAGTTACGTGAGACACAACACTTTTTTGAACATGTGGGAGATGTCATCACTAAGGATCCGGGTAAAGCTGTTGCTTTTCCACCTGTCCTGTAGCTCTAGGTTTTTGATCTCCACAACAAAACCACTAACCTATTCTCTAAGTATCTTTAACATTTGCAGGTGTGAGGTTTTTAACCCCTCTCCAAGAAATAATAACGAAGCCTAGTTTAAACTACCTTGTCTCAGGGCGCCTGGGTGACTCTGTCGGTTAAGCGTCCGACTTCAGCTCATGTCATGGTCTCACAACTCGTCAGTTCGAGCCCTGTGTCGGGCTCTGCGCTGACAGCTCATAGCCTGCAGCCTGCTTTGGATTCTGTTTCCTTTGCTCTCTGCCCCTCCCCCGCTCACACTCCGTCTCCCTCTCTCTCTCTCAAAAAAAAAAAAGAAAAAAGAAAAAAATTAAACCTTGAAACTATCCTGTCTCTTTAAAACAAGAACAACAATTCTGTCAAGTGATGTCTCAATGACTCCAAAAAAAAAAATGGGAATTCAGGTTACATGAGAATAATTGTGGCTTCTCCAATCAACACGTTTTTTGTGTAAGTCAGTAAAAGAAACTTCGTCAGGGCTTGAATGTGAGGCAGCTCTCTCTTTTCTGAGAGAGAATTTTAATAGTGGGGGGAAAAAAACCCTACCTTATATTTGGGTATATATGGTACAAGACAATGTCAAAGATGCATGTGAATAAACTATCTCACAAAAATATTCCAGCAGGGGGGGAAAAAAAGCAGTATTTTTGTATTAGGGTATTTTATATACTGAGACAAAAGGCAACAACGGAAAAACTAAAATATGACAAGGGTCATGTGATTAATATGTACAATAATCACAGTGATTTAAAGGAGAGAACGATCGATAAAGGTCACAGAAGGCTATGCTAGAGCTGGCAGGATGTGAGCTACGGTCTGAAGGAAGAAAATTGGGCCCGGAAGGGTGCGTTGCCAGGGTGGATAATACCCAAGCTGAAAGTCAGCAATAACCATGCAAAGGGGTAGATTTTTAAATGCACCAAAATTCTGAAGAAAACACTAGCAAGTACTCAAACTCACATTTCTGCCCTGTACGTTTGCCTCAGTCATGGTCCAATCTGGAGACGAGAGCCGTGCGGTCATTTGAACGGGGAGAGTCTAATATAAATATATAACAGAGGATGACGTATAAAGTGGTAAAGCAAAATCTCAAGAATACCTGGGGATGAAGGAGAAGACCCAGGAGGAAACACCACTGAAAGAGGAGCGCTTTCCCCAA